TGTCAAGAAAGTACTAATAAGAATCAAGCTCATGTCCTTCTGGTACGAAAATCACTCTCTACCCACTTATTCATTCCGGTACAATTTTCATCCACTCTTGACTGGACAGATAATTGATATTTAATTTTTCCGGGTGGTGTTGTAAACATCAAGAGTTCACATATACATATTTTTAACCGGAAAATACTACATGTCCTTCCAGTTCTTACTTCCCAAGTTTTACTCTCTCTCACAAATTTTTTATGTAAACACTTTTATTGAGACCACATGATGAAAATATACCATCTTTATTTGTCACATCATAAAATAAAAGTAAGAACGTAGAATTTAGGAATACATGTAATATAAATCTTTTTAACCTATAGAATATGTTAGTCCAGAGTCATATTTAATTTATATGGATTAGGATTGGGTGGGTGAGGGAGTTTGATATAAAACTAATAAAAGTGACACACATAAAGACATTGCCTAATGTTTATTCTGTTACCTTACCTAGGAATTGACGTATCATCTCAATATTGACTTAAATAGATCGGAGTGATTTTAAAATATTATATTAATATATATATTATTTCATATAGAAACATAAATTTAGTGCCAAGAGGGGGAACAATGATGTGACATATGCCTTTTGTAGTAATTACTCTTTGTTCTTAGCTGACCTCAAAATATATAAAACATTATGTGATGCCCAACCTCTCTTTATAAACAATTTATAGCCACACTTCACACATACACCTTTTTCCTCTTTTTATATATAATTCATCGCAATCCAAAATATTGAGAACTTTCTTTCGTGTTATATTGATATTCACGTCATGAGGATAAGATTAAGGTGGCACTATTAGATCTCATTGTGAAACGACTCTTTAGATTTATCTCGCATCAACCAACACCTTTTATTAAGATTTTTTTTTTTTTTTTAGTGGTTTATATCAGGTTTCTTAGAATCTCAAAGGGTGACAAAACACTCCTTAAATTTTAATGTAGTTATGTTTCTAAGTTGGATCCTGATACCTTTAGTTAAGCTGGAAGATACCTGCACCATCTTATCTACAATCTCATGGACTTGAGTATTAATAATCGTATTAAGAAAAAATTGACATTATTCATCCCTTCGAAAATAGCGATTATACTTTTTGATACTTTCATTTCGAGTTAATACTCAATATAGTCCTCGACTTTAGTGGTTTCACTTAATTTAGTCTTAAATGACTTTTTGTACTCAATTTAGTCCTTGAATTTGATGATTTTACACAATTTAGTCATTTGTTAAAAAATTTGTTAGGTGACTGTTAGAAATAGGATCCTGACGGTAATTTCTCATCCTTCATCCCATTTGAGATGATTATCTTTGTACCCAAATCAACTTCAACCCTAAAGTTTTTTTTTTAAAAAAATAAAAATTTGTAGGCATATATATATATATATATATATATATATATATATATATATATATATATATATATATATATATATATATATATATATATATATATATATATTTATTTATTTATTTATTTATTTATTTATTTAGGGTTGAAGTTAATTTGGAGATGAACTATGAAGATCTCCATTTATGCATAGAGCTTAACAAGGGGAAGGAGAATGAAACATCCTAAATGGGATAAAGATGATAAATTCTCATTATGATCCTATTTCTAACAATGAACTAACATAATTTTTAACAAAGGACTAAATTGTGTAAAATCATTAAAGTCAAGGACTAAATTGAACACAAAAAAGTCATTTATGACTAAATTGAGTAAAACCACTATAGTAGATAACTAAATTGGGTATTAACCCCTTTCATTTCTCAATTATTTGCGAAGTAATTTTTTTTTCATGTATATGTATTTTACTAGGGTTGGGTTTAAAAACCCATTTCAAAAACAAGTGAAGGACTAAAAACCGTGAGACTGCAATTAAGTACTGAAAAATGCTATTTTTTCATAATTCAAAAACGAAATGTGTCATTTTTCTATTTTATTAATCAACAACTCAAAATAAATCAGAATACATACATAATTGGAATTAGGCACTTTAAATTAGTCTAAGAGATTTTATTACTATAACAAATAATAATCTTTTTTCATACTACACTAATATTCGTTCCTAATCTTATAAGATGTGAATAATGTAATTAAGTCTTAATCAATCATATTTATAAACAGCTCTCTTAAAACGACTATTATCATTCTTTAAAATTTACGTGAAATTGAAGGTGATGCATATGTATGTATATGTATATATATGTATATATATATATATATATATATATATATATACACACACACACAATGAGAAAGGAGGGGGTGGGGAGGGGGGAGGGGGGTAGACCCTAGACACTATTGTTTACAGTTTGAGCATGCCCATATGTGTTTGTGTGTGTGTGGAGCATAGAATTGTTCAATTGACATATTCTCATGGGGAGGGAAATGTGACAGCAAGACTAAACAGATGCAGTGATTTAATGTAGTGGCCGCCACTAAATGGTGGCTGCAACGTTACAATTTGTGTCTGCCTTTTAGGTTTGCCGGCTGGAGTGATTTGATGTATAAATTCAAAAAAGAAAAGAATTAATAATCTCGTAATGTAATGATAACTAATAGTCTAATACTGTAGTAAAAAAGATATAAAATAAAACGAACATATAATATTGAATGAAGATGTTACATTTTTACCAGTATGTATTAAATTATAATATAATTTGTAAGTTGTTACTAAATGTTGCGGCAGCCCAATTATGTGGATAATGTAGAAATTTCCATCTACTTATAGATAGAGACACCCAAATCTACCAATATCTTCTTTGAAAGAAGCCTCACGTCTTGCAAGAACTAGGAAGCCTAGAATGGAGCAATCAAGTTAAAGCATCCAACCACCATTGAATGAGGAAACTAATGTACATACCATCGCTTAAAAATAAAAATTCGAAATGATTATCTCGTCTATCATTTGATTTATGAAGAAGTTTATAGTTACTATCTGAATATACGTTTATGGTGAAATTGACATTGTAACTCTAACGGATAAAAGACCACAATAAAATTAACCAATCTAAGTTCTTTATTATTGACCGACTCAAACCAGGAAGAAATTAATAGGCAATTCTAAGAGTTGAACTTGAAATTTTAATTTTTGATATATATATATATATATATATATATATATATATATATAGTTAATTGTCTGACCAACTCGATTAGAGTTACTCCCACTTCTACATCTGTCATTGTAAGTGCACCAAATCAGACATTGACCTGTCCAGTGTCCACCTATGCAGTCGATTGAATCAGAGCGATTTTTTCTCTACTATCTTGTCAGATCAAGTCGAGATGTAAAAACACTTGAGACTAGAGATTTCGCCTTTCGTGACACGTATGTTAAACGCGTACTTAAAAGAATGGTGACATGTAAGCATTGATTATCTCATATTCAAGGAGGTAATTATTGGGAGAATGAAAATGTGGCGGTGGAGGAAGCGGTGGTTGTGGGGCTTTTGATGGCGGCGCGTTTCTCTGAAGCGTGACTTAATTACAATGGGCACCCACTCCCCACTCCCCACCCTAATCCTTTTTTCATGTGCTTTACCATCTTTTCTCCAATGAGAAGTTGCACACCCATCAAAAGAACTTTCCTTTTCCTTTTCATTTTTTCCTCAATCAACAAACGTTAATCAACATCGTTGTCACACCTAACGGTTGGGCCACTTCTCCATTTCAAATCACACATTCAAAAAAAAAAAAAACACAAATCATTCCAAACATCGTCCAGCAACAACATTACATTCACTTCCTTATCACTCACAGTGAATCTACATTGCCCACCCATGATTCAATAAGATTCAATAATCAACTATTGTCCCTGTGTGTGACATGAAATTTGAACGACAAGACGCGTATGGTCATTTACAACAGACGCGCAACACGTATAGTATGGTCAATTCTGTACTAGTGAACGAATGGCCGGGGGCTCGTTTTGGGGGATCCATGGCTGAGAAAACGTCGAGAATTGAAAACGAAGCAGCTAGCTAGCAGTGGGGATGGAGAAGGAAAGGACAAGAACATTAAAGGGCATTGATGAATTGATTCATAGTTTCTGACAAAGGGCAAGAACACAACTGTATAATGATTGGCCTAATAAAAACATCACAAGAAGCAGATGATAAAGGGGGGGACTGTGGTGTATATACAATTCATCACTCTCACATATACACACACCCATTCTTGGGATCTCTGCAATTCTGATGGGAAATCTCTGCTCACTGATACGTAGTAGTACTAGCTAGCCCGTTTGTAATGATAGATAAACCCCAACAAGAATCATGCAAATTTCAATAGCTTTAAACTCTCAGTATGGATCAGTGCGTACCATATATATCCAACGTTAGCTACCACTTCTCCACAAGTTTTGACAGGTTTAATGTTGTTGCGAGTGTACTAAACTCGTCTTCTACTACGTCACAAAAGCTATAGCTAGTAGCAAAAACAGTTATATTTGTTTTACACTTAATTACCTAATAACTGTTGAGCATATAACCATTAATGTGCAATCTAACTAGCTATTAGCTTAGGTTTTTAGTTGAGATGGAGCACATGCTTCAATTTGGTATCAAAACCATGCCTAAGGTCATGGACACACGTGAGGGACGTGAGACATCTAACTATACATGCTTCAATTGTAACATCGTCAGTTTTTAAATTTGAAATCGGCGATCACTACTTAAGAGTGTGGGGCAGTAGATAAATCATGCATTCTGACTCTAGCTGACAAAGAACTATCAGTCTGGATTACGTATAGATAACTTGTCAAACCAAGAAGCTGAATAAGAGGATTGAAGTGAAACATATATAACTTTGCATGATATATAAATCTTGGGATTACACGTTAAGGTAGTAGCAAGCTATATATATATAGTGGTTGAGATATATAATTGATATGAATGATGCAGATGATGAGTGTGAATGGGACAAGAGTGGTGAAGTGGGGTTTGATCATCAGATCCAAAACCTGATGACATGAAGAAATGGAACAGTGATAATGGAAAGCAGGCTGTAAAAAATTTGGACCACCCTAGCATGCAAAGCTGAGTTGGTAGGTGTTAATGAATTTTTCAGAGCCTTAGGGTGGTCCTGCACCATTATATTTTTGATCTTAAAGTCAAAACCAACTTTTATATTTATGTATATATGTGCTTGTAGAGAGGACACTTCAATTCCTTAAGGTGAGAACAATTTTTTTTGGATGTAAACCACGAGATGGTCTGGGTATTCTCTATCCATTTAACGGTTCAAATCCACCCGATTAATCCTTGTTCGTTTCAAGAGGTCATGGAGCTGGCCCAGGGAGAATTATCCTTGGGAATATGAACAAGCATAAGTGCACACATAAATATATATATATATATATATATATATATATATATATATATATATATATGTATGTATATTACCTCTCCAGAGTCCAGGCTGCTTCTTTCTGTGCAACAATTCCTGTGGCTTTAGTGGCGGGAAAACCACATCCAGGATTTGATTTGGAGTGGTGCATTGGGCCTGGTGTCCACTCCCTGTTAGGCCCACTTAAAGTGATGCAGATGCCATATAGGTTCAGCCCACTTTGCTGGACTTGTGAAAACCCGAATGACTTTTAGTGTAAAACTAGTAGGTGCACCCGCGCGATGCGCGGCTATATATATAGTATAATATATATACAGTATAGAATATGGTTATTTGAACCTGTAAAAATGTGAAATGAAAAGTTGTGATTTTATTACACATTGATGAATATAGTAGTTTTATTATACATTAAGGGACACTACCTATATAGTACATAGAATATTACGTATAATATAATAAGAATAAGAAACATAATAAGAAACGTATTATTTTGCACAAATACTAAATTTTAAATAATAAATTGTTGAATGTTATTATACATTATTGAAGACTTCTTTGTACACAACATTTTTAGTCGTACTAAGACATGGTACACTTTCCCCGCAAATCAAAATTTTCAAACCCCTGGGGTTACTAACTCTTGAAACAGCTACGTATAGTTGTCCATGGTTAAAGACCGGTTTTTTCAACAACAACCCAACTTTAGCAAGCGTTTGTCCTTGACTTTTGTTGATTGTCATGGCATAGGATAGCATCAAAGGAAATTGCTTTCGTTGAAATTTGAAAGGCAATCTTGGATCTGACGGTGTAAGTGACATCCTAGGAATCAATACTCTGGTTCCTGCATTTGTACCGCACATGATTTTGCCTTCCAACACATGGTCAGCCAACCTTGTAACAATCAACCTTGTACCGTTGCATAATCCTAATGTGTGATCAATATTTCGCAATAGCATAACAGGTGATCCAACTTTCAATGTCAATGCATGATTTGGTACTCCAGAACATCTCAAGGCATTCAAGAATTCGGGAGTGTGCAAATCCGCTAACATGTCAACATTGGCATCTGACTTACACACAGAATCACAACTCAAGTATGTCATACCCTCATAAGGATTATGATCATTCATGTATTGGTTAACGGCATCTACCACATCCAATGTTGGAGCTAAAATTGCACTATGATTAAGATATGACAAATCGGCAATTCCCAGTCGGAAATTGGGGAAAGTGCTATCAACAATTGTAGCAATAGGGTCATCTTCGCACTTCAACAACAAATCTTCTGAACAGTAATCTCTGACTCCCCCTCAAGTTGACACCCAATAATTCCATCACCTATATTAGCTATCCATTTTGCAAATTCCTCGATCTCCTTGCACTCGATTTCTGATTGAACACTCTTCAAACGTAGATTCTTAGTCAGCCTTAGGACTTTACAGGATTTCCATAGATAGGATGAGCTAATGCTCGCTCTAACTATATCCGGTCTAGTACCCTTTGGAATGACTGGTAAAATTTGCCTGAAATCGCCCCCCCCCCCCCCCCCCCCCCCCCAAAACAACTGTCTTACCACCGAATGTCATATTAGAACTCATTGGATTTATGAAGCGCATCAAATCCCGCATAGTTCGATCCAGGGCTTCAAAGCAGAATTTATGCATCATGGGGGCTTCGTCCCATATTATCAACTTTGTTTGCACAAGAAGTTCCGCCAGTTCACTGTCGTTACGTATGTTGCATGTGGAATCTTCATTAACAGATATCGGAATAGCAAACCGAGAATGTGCCGTCCTGCCACCGGGCAATAAAAGCGAAGCTATGCCGCTAGAAACTACATTTAACACTATTTGACTCTTAGACCTTAATGCGGAAGAAAGTGCTCGCCACAAAAAAGTCTTACCTGTCCCTCCATAACCATAAACGAAGAATAACCCCCCTTCCTGGCGATCCACGTCAGTTAACACTTCCTTGTATATTGTCTTTTGTTCGTCTGTTAACTGCCTTACCAATTCTTGATTCTCTTTCTCCTGTTCGGCACAATCGTATGCTAATTCTTTTTGAATAAATCTGTTTGCAATAACATTTAAGGCACCAAAATTTGCAGTTGGCATCTCAGGATAGTCCTTCAAACTCTTACCATGATTAGATAATAGCTTCTCAATCTCTACTAAAGCAAAGTTCATTTTGTGCGAATCGGTCAACACAAAATCTGCATAAATATATATAAAAATTTGATGTTATAACATAAGTACGTTAAACTTGACTTAATATTTTTTAAAAAAATGTACGATTACCTTTGATCTGCAGTTGTCTACGAACGTTGAATTGTGCATCGTCTGATAGATGTTGCCAAACGGCATGGCAAACTATTTCCGGTTTCCCCATGCAACTGCTCATTAGCAATGTCACAAACAATCTCCTCAATTGATCTGCTGACGCCCAATGACTGGCTTCATCTATTGCATCAACATATTCGTTGTCATCATCAACTAAACCCCTTGCATAACACGCATCTCGGAATGAGTCATATTGCACCCCATTTACAGTCCTAATATCTTCATAACTTTTAGGGCCGCGGACTTTGTTCAGCAAACACCTCAAATAGAAAATTTCACCAGTAGCTGGCGGGACATAGAATATATGTCCTATTGAGAACCCTTTCTTTCGTGGCTACCATTTTCTAAGGTCTTTCTTCCAAACGAATCTTGTTGGCATCTCAACATAAGTAAGCTCTCTCGCATCGGAGTATGTTTTATTAGCTTCGAACCATTCTAAAAACATGCTCTGTGCTATCGTAGGTCTATTCACAATGTTCTCAACAGCATCATCATCTGCAAATATCACACTCTGTTGATTAGGAAGGTGAAAGCTTAACCTTTCCACCGAAGGCGCCTGAAGTTGTATATCAAAACCAAACAGACGCCAGACCGCTTCACACGGGGATATGTACCTACAGTCATAGTACATATTTATCTCATCTATTGCTTTGCCATTCTCGTCATCATTGCCTGTTTTGTAAAACTCGGCGGTTACCCGATCATGACCCTTGTTAACATACTTGAACATGTACTTGATTGACCGTGACTGGTTGCACCACTCGACATTTATATGAGCCTTGTACTTGAGCAATAAATATCTATTGTACGGTACCACATACCTGTTGTCCAAGGCAATCCCGTTCTTTGTAATTACACTGCCATTGTCTCTCCTTCTATATACCGGGTAACCATCGTCATCAAATGTAGAACTATCAACAAATCTCTTAGGAAAATGTTTAGAGCATCGCCCATTTACCATACATGGAGAATTGGTCCTCGCTTTTCCACATGGACCATGCATCATAAATTCCTCTACCGCTTGGTAATACTCTGCATCTTTCTTTTCATCTGGAATCTCTGCGCAAATTATGTTGTCTAGAGTAAGAACTTGCCTAACTTCTTTACTTTTCTCCAAAAAAGTAATATATGAGCATGCGGAAGACCTCGCTTTTGAAACTCAATTGTATATATGACTGCAACAACATAGACATAAACATCATAAGATTAAGTAATTACATAAAAGTGTATCAAAATTGATTTAAAATAAAAGGACAAAATATTACCTCCAGCCACAGGGCCAAATATTTTATTCTTTCGACAATCAGCTATCAAAGCATCCAAATTAATCTTGAATAACCGGCAAATTATGTCCGGCCGATCTTTTGGCTTCAACCTTTGGTCTTTTAAAAAGCGTTGCACCTCAGGCCACTTCGGATTGCATGTAAAGGTTATAAATAAATCTGGCTATCCAATCCATCTACATATTGCCATTGCATCTTGGTAGTTTTGTATCATGTATCTAGCACCACCCGTAAAACTTGAAGGTAGTATTATTCTGCGACCTTGGGCTGCAGGGCTTAATTCACCCCTTGTCAAAGCATCAGTCAATCCACTATAACTCTCACACCTTAGGCTTTTTTGGTGTGTCCTTATATAAATCAGTCTTACAGACTCAACCATTGTGTAGCCATCTACAACAAATTGTTGGAACAACCGCTTTGCAAATAATATGGTACTCGGAGCTGACAGTCTAGACTGTATGCGGTAGCAAAAAAACTCCCTGGGACTAATCCTCTGTCTACCACCTGAGGAGCGCTTGCCTAAAACGTCAGCGAATGAAATGTCTTCCCGGTAACCGTCTTCGCCATATGGAAACAAAATAGGGTATTGCAGCGGCAAGTATGAAGGATTTAATTCACTAATCCTCTGTAGGTGGCCACCCTTCGATTGAACAATAATATCACGCTCTCCAATACTGGTATCCAGATCTCCCACAATTAACGCTGCTACTTCTGAAACTTGCGGCAGATTATAGGTCCTCGCATCTCTATTTCGTTTTCCCAACAACTTGATTTTGACCTCGGCGCATGGATTAATATCCAACTCAGACATAGCCATCCGAAAAGACTTAACCAAAACATTATTTTCATCGAGGTCTTTCTGAATGACATTCACTATTTCTACATGAATGTCATCTTGCTCACCACTACCCCTACAACAACATAAACTTGATGTATATAGTTGTCAAGATAAAAAATAGTATCTAATGATTAGTATTAATACGCAAACTTTTGTACCTCACAGCATTGATACGGTTGATCTTTTCATTTGTCGTGTCGTATATATATAACTGGGCAAAATGAGGTTCTTTGCCTTGTTCTGGAAGTAGAGTGCCCATTAGGTGATAGTTTTGACCGCTTAATCGAAAAATTGGAGGTGCTCCTCCCTTGTTCACGCTCTTGTCAATTTTACCTCCCATGGATGTGAAGCAGAACATGTTGTTGTAGGTCCTAATGTTGTGTAGAAATTCTTTTGATAATTCGTCATTGCCGAAAAAGAGATCAAATATACCTTTTGGTGGCAACTTATTCTCCGGCAACTTGATCTTCCTATTGTTGCAACACAACATAAACAGTGGAGATGCTTTTGTTGACAAATTCTTTTTCCTTTCTTCAAACCAAAACAAAGCCCCACAATGGACGCATTTATTTGTTGCATCACCAAAATCGCAGTATTGACCTGAAACAAAATATATACAAAATGAAATACTGATTGATATTTTAAGGAGTTATAAAACAAATCTACATACCATGTTGTGGATCAGAGGATGTCCCCATATCGAAGTTTTGCCTATCATCGTTTCTCGATATATTTGCATCTGAAATTAGAAATACATTTAAAAATCAATTTTAATAGTTTAAGGTTTGCATATGTACTTTACTTATAGTTGTTTCAATAACCGCTAGAGTATCTTCTTACCAACTATGTACGTATTTGGTGCGTCGATCATTGTAGGGTTACATTCACCTTCAAAGGCAGATAGCAAGTCTCTTGTTGTTACATGGTCATCGGCAATTCCATATTTATGTAATGGTTTACGAATTGCCAATTCATCTTGTGTTATCGTCGATGCAGGATTTTCTTTATCTACCAAAATAAATGGCTGGCAATTGGTTGCACCGATCTGTGTATTCGACGAACGTACTGTACACATACGGAATATTAGACAAATTTAAAGTATAACAACCTTTAAAGTCACATTTAATTTAAACCACTACATTTTAGTGGACTATAAAAAAATTAGTTGGTAGCATATAATAACAAAATAAATTATAGAAGTCTTAATATTATAAATTAAGTACACCTAACATCTACATTATGCTAGCCTAGAAAATGAAAAAGTAATTTGACGGTATAAGTATTCTATTTTAGTGGAAAACTTATTAGGTAGACCATGGTCCACAAAAATATGTGCACCATAAATAGAATTAGAATGAAAAAGTATATTTCATTAAGTACAAACCAACAAATTGATTACACATAATAAAAGAAATTTAACTATTTTAAAGAAAAATTAGAAATTGATATTAAAAAGTAAATCATATGAAGACAAATTAGTGAAATTACAATTCCACACTGAGTTCTATGGACCATGAGTTACATTATAATTAAATTCACAATGAATGTATATCAATTAATCTTAGGGGATTTACCGTTGGTGATGTTACTCAATGGTGTGATATTTTCAGACAAACATCCTCCAAGGGGAATTGAGTAAGGAGTAGTTGTCGTACGTTGATCTTTAGCTTGGGCAGCATTATTCGTAAAAGATGAGTTGCCGTAATAAAATTTGCTGTGATATAAAATATAACATTAAATTAAGAAATAATTCCAATAATTTATACCCGAAACAAATTAGTAGACATAACATAAATATTTGTTCAATTGCACGACATTAATATTTAATCAAATAGAATTAGGTAGACCATGGTCCGCATCTATTTGTGCAAACTAAATAGAATTAGAATGTAAAAGTGTATATCGTTAAGTACAATCTAATTAATTAATTACACATAACCAAAAAAATGTAACTATTGTAAAGAACAATTACAAATTTATATTATTCAACATAAATTACATTAAAAATATAACATTTAATTTTACAAACATCGTTTAACAATTAAAACTATAAGGATATTTAAATTCACAATGAATGTATATCAATTCATTCTCGGGGATTTACCGTTACTAATGTTACTGAATGGTGTGATATCTTGCGACGGACAACCGCCCCCCGGAATTTGGGAACGAATATTTGGCGTATGTTGGTCTTTACCTTGACCAGCATTAGTCATTAACGATGAGTTGCCTACATAATTTGCTGTGATGTAAAAAAAAAAAAATTAGAATACTATAATAACAACAGTAATTACAGCAGTTAAAATTATATAAATTAATCACACCTAACGCTATTAATTATGTTAGACTATAAGTTGAAATTGTAATTGCTATCAATAAGAGTTACCTAATAAGTGGAACAATTATTAGGTAGACCATGGTCCACATAATTTAGTGCACAATAAATACCATTAATATATATATATATATATATATATATATATATATATATATATATATATATATATATATATATATATATATAATATTACGGAGTATATGTTTGTTCGGTCGGAATATTATGAGAAGAGGAAGAAGGGTGAATACCCTTCTCCTTCCCCTTTGTCCGAACAGATCAGTTATTCACCCTCTCACCGCTCACTTCCGATCTCTCTCTGTCTCTCCTAAATCTAGATCAGTGCTTAGTCGAAATCTGGGTTTCAACTGTTCTTACTGAACATTGTTTCCGAAGAAATCTTAGACTGGTCTAGATGAGCATCTCCCCGATTCTCAGTACATAATCGCGATCTTTCATTTCCGTGAAAGATCGTAGTGTTCAACAACAGTAAATGGTGGAAATCACGCTGCAGTGAAGCTAATTTCGAACTACTAAGGTTAGTGTGCATTTAATTTCCAGACAATTTAATTAGGGTTCGGATTTATCACTGTTGTTTGTTCTAAACTTGATCTAATTTACTGGATCTAAGCATGCATATCGAGAATCATAGATAAAAGCTCTTAATTTCCGATTTGTATGATTCATAAAAATTAGGGTTTTAAGTCGTCTTCTTTGTAGTGTTGCTATAAAAACACACAATTGAAATTACTGTTAACTGTGTAAATATCATGTTCAAAATACTATAGCTATATTCTGGTACAAACAAATCCTAACCAATAAGTCTACTTTATCATGTTGTTTGTCATGGACATACTGGAATTATTTGAGGAGATGGAGAAGACAAACAGAATCGCACGGCAAGAGGGATGCTACAATGAAGCTTCATTTCAAAAACAAAAAGATAAGTTTCGAACTTACCTTTATTTGCTTCACTTGGTTTCCTTTTGATGCCTATAATTGTTGACTTAGTGATTTTTCTCATTGCACTGTCTATTGTGTGTACTTGAAAATGTCTCTGTGAATTGTCTATTTGGCTGGGGTCTGAAACTGGAGAACTGTGTTGGTAGTTAGATGGGGCATCTTTCTTTAGATGGGTTGATTGTAGTTTACTTAACTTTTTGCCTTGATTTCGAAAAAAAGATTGGAACTGAAGAGTTTTCTGTTAATATTAATGATAGCTGTCCATCAATTATATTTAATGTTTAGGGAATGTGTTTCTTTTCCTAAGAATGATTAACTTTTACTCAACAGTCCAATAATTCCATTGTCTTAAATTTCTTTAGATAATTGGTCAGAACATGGAACACACAGATTGATTCTTTGGTTCTAAAACTCTTCAAGATTCTCTGTTATGCCAGTCTATCAAATTATTTTCCTAATGAAATGACATTCTCAGTTTTTTAGTGAACACAGTAATGTTCATTACATTTAAAATCTTGAATTTAGGTGGTGTGATCTACTTTCTTTCTAAATGTGCTAGCAAATTTCTTCTATTATTTATTCTGAACACATGATCATTCTAACTTTTTTATTTGTTTTTTTATTCGTTTTAGAAGAAAATTATCCAAGCTGTGGAGTAATTGAAGAGCGGCAAGCAGAAAATAAGCACTATGTCCATATCAGCAATCAGGTTAAGACTCTATCTTGATTTACCTTACTTTAGATGACTTTGTATTGTTATACTTGCATAGTTTTTAAGTTTGTTCACTTAGTTTGTAAGGCAATGTATAGTTTGATTTAAAAAGACTTTTTTCAACAAATGGTCATCAAGTATAGACCAAGTTCTTATTTTTTTAATTTCATTTTTGTCAATTTGTTTAGGGAGGTTGTAAGAACATTGAACACATACATTTATTATTTGATTCTACTCATATTCAATTCTCTGTTATTTTAGTGTATCCTTTTCCTCTTATTAAATATTATGAACACAACTTCTAACCAATTTTTTTTGTTGTTATTCTTATTAGAATGAAACAATTCAAGCTTTGAAGAAATTGAAGAGCAGCCGGCAGAAAAAAACCAATCAATGAAAGACCACTAAAAGCAATATGGTCATATAAGCAAATAGGTTAAGACTTCCTCTTTACTTGGCTGTATTTAGATTAGTTTGTATGCATATACTTGCACCGTTTGTAAGTTTGTTCACTTTACTTTCTAAGGCAATAGTTTTCCATTACTGGCTTTCACTTTGGTGCATTGTTTGGTTCTATATAAGTATAGAACTCACTAATGTTAACACAGTAATGTTAATAACTTTTTATTTTTCTCTTTGGTCAAAACTGGTATAACTATTTTGTATATATCATAATATTCTTTAAATGTGTTTTATTGCAAGCAACAACTTTGTTTTTTTTAATATTAGACACATTCAGTAAAATGTCCTTGTTCAAGAAATGGTGCTCGACTATCGACCAACTTCATATAATTTTAATTCTAGTGTCTTTGATATCTTGACTTTGGTGCATTATTTTATTCTATATAAGTATAGAAGTGCCATTTGTGTAGGATCATACTTTTCTGTTTTTTTTTTTTTTTAATTTAAGGAGATTCTCATTTTTTTTATTAAAACAGAAATTTAAATTACTTTTTTTTTTCTCTTTGCTTAAAACTAGTATAATGTTCTTCTATGTATCATAATATTGTTTAAATGTTTTTTATTGGAAGAAACAACTTTGTTTTATTAATAATAGACACATTGAATAAAATGTCTTTGTTCAACAAATGGTCCTCGAGTATCGACACTGTTAATCTATTTGTATTTCTATTCTATTTGACCCCTGGAATTTGTTCAATTGTTTTATTCTATATCAGTATAAAAGTCAGATTTGTGTACGATCAAAACATTTTTCCGTTTAAAGGAGATTGTTGGTTTTTTAGTTAACACAGTAATGTAAATGACTTTACAAAAATCTTCTTTTAGTTGCTGTTATCTAATTTCTTTTTAAATGTGCTAGAAAACTTTGATGGATACCAGCTTGGACATCAGGTGCTTTGGAGAGATGCAAACTGAGTAAAAGAAGATTGTGCAAATAGGTAATTGGAACTAACTCTATTTTTTAGGCAGAATATATTTAGATATAAAGTCTTAGAATTGCAAACTGAGTAAAAGAAGATTGTGCAAATAGGTAATTGGAACTAACTCTATTTTTTAGGCAGAATATATTTAGATATAAAGTCTTAGAATTGCAAACAGAGTAAAAGAAGATTGTGCAAATAGGTAATTGGAACTAGGGCTGAGCATAATCCGAAGAAACCGAAAAAACCGGCCGAACCGCGAACCGAAATAGACCAACCGAACCGAACCGATACCCGAGTTGCAAAACCGAACCGACGCCTAAAACGACGTCGGTTTACGGAGTTCGGATAGGGTGGGTTAAAAATTCACCCGACCCGTCCGAATACCCGATAAAAGCTAGGGTTGCGTATGTAGATAGCAATACGACGTCGTTTAGGCTTAGTATATATATATGTTGTTACTCCTAACTCCACACTTGCGCAGTCAGTCTCTTGATTCCTTTCTCTTGCTAGGGTTTCCAGACGAGAGCTTCTCTTCTCTCATTCTCTGAGACTCTCAGTTCTCTCTGGTTCTCTGCGCAGTCGCACCTTGCGATTTTAGTCCTCACTCCTCAGTTCTCTCTAGTCTTTCTGTACTAGACAAAGACTACCTTCTTTGTAGTCTATACTCTCCTTGTCCGGTTGGTTCTGTTATAGTCCGGTTGGTCACTGGTGGAAGCCCTCATGCCCTGACTGGTGTAGTGGTGCTGTGGTGGTCGTGGACGTGGTGCTGTGGTGGACTACTGGTGTCGTCGAGAGTCGAGACGTCGACTTCCAGTAAACTGGAGGCCTGAAGGCTGAAGCCCTCATTCTCCGGTGTATTTGTGAGAAAAGAAGTAACTCGCTGACCCTATTCTTAAATTTATTGTGATGTATTATGTGGTCTCTGTGATATTGTAGTGTGAGCACTGACTTTGTGTCTTTGTTAGTTGTTACTGCAAACCCTAGTTTTGTAAAAGTTATTTCTTAGATATGTTGGCATATTGCTCTGAGTTTATTGCGAATTTGTGATCTATTTTGTGTCTCTGTGATAATGTGGTGGAAGCACTGACTATGGTTTCTATGATTCTCTGAATTGTGGACTGTGATTAAGTCAATCTGTTGAGAAGTTCCAGATTGTATATCACGTGTCCCTTGTCCCTTGTTTGTGATGTTATGATACTTGATTATGGTTTCTATGATTCTCTGAATTGTGGACTGTGATTAAGTCAATCTGTTGAGAAGTTCCAGATTGTATATCACTTGTCCCTTGTCCCTTGTTTGTGATGTTATGATACTTGATTATGGTTTCTATGATTCTCTGAATTGTGGACTGTGATTAAGTCAATCTGTTGAGAAGTTCCATATTGTATATCACTTGTCCCTTGTCCCTTGTTTGTGATGTTATGATACTTGATTATGGTTTCTATGATTCTTTGAATTGTGGACTGTGATTAAGTCAATCTGTTGAGAAGTTCCAGATTGTATATCACTTGTCCCTTGTCCCTTGTGGTGGAAGCACTGACTGTTTTAACTAATAAGAGTCTGTTTAATTTGAGTGTTATAAACTTATAATGTCTCTTAAAGGCTTTAATTGGTGGAAGCCACTTAGAAATTCAGTTAATGATGTTGATGAAATGAGCTGTTTTTATGTTATAACAGTCTCTGATTCATCTGGATATTTGAAATATATCCCTGAATCTAGATTTCTTTGTAAGTTTATGGATGTATTCCCTTAATTGTATTTGTATATTTGTAATTTTGTATTGAATAATGCCCTTTAATTAATTATGCATTCCTGTTTAATGATGACACAAAATGTGTCTGATTCTGGAATGTTTTTGAATCCTGTTGTGTGTACTGATAGTTCACCATTTTTAGATGGATAATATCAGTATGCCTGGTACTCCTGGTAGTCAACCTCCCAGCTCCTCAATTGATGGACCTTCAGGGGTGGAAGCCCAAACTGTTGAGAATCAACAGAATGAGCAACCTCCTACTGCTGTTCCAGCCAAGAAGAGGAAACAGGTTGCTTCCAGATCACCAGTGTGGGATCATTTTGAGGCAATAAAGGACACTAATAATGTGGTTGTAAAAGGCAAATGCATTTATTGTGCCAAAATTTACCACTGTGAGACAAAAAAACATGGGACTTCTTCCTTAAGAAATCACATGGTTAGCTGTTTGAAAAATCCTCACTCCATGGAAACTAGGCAGTCCCTGTTAACATTTCAGGCTGTTACATCACTTACAGATGGTCAGCCTACTGTGGGAGAAATAGGGACTTGGGTTTTTAATCAAGAGTCAATAAGGAGGGCCTTGGTTGAAATGATAATCATAGATGAATTGCCTTTTAGGTTTGTGGAGGGAATAGGTTTCAGGAGGTTCATAGCTATTGCTTGCCCTAGGTTTATAGTTCCATCCAGGTGGACTATAAGTAGGGACATCCTAGTTGTCTATGATGAGGAGAGACTGAAATTGAAGCAATTTTTAAGGGGAAGCAGTCATAGGGTTAGTATCACTACAGATTCTTGGACATCCATCCAAAGAATTAACTACATGGTAGTTACTGCCCATTTCATTGATTCTGAGTGGAAGCTTCATAAGAAAATCCTTGCATTTGTCCCTGTTACTTCTCACAAAGGTGAATATCTAGCCAAAGCCCTAGAAAATTGTTTGCTTGAGTGGGGGCTTAGAGATGTGTTTTCTGTGACTGTTGATAATGCCTCATCAAATGACACTGCTATGGTTTTTCTGAAGAAAAAAATGCTGTCTTGGGGATCATCTACTGTGAGGACAAAGTATCTTCACATGAGATGTATTGCCCATATCTTAAACCTAGTAGTTCAAGATGGTCTTAAGGATTGTGATAGTTCAGTTAAGAAGGTTAGGGAGGTGGTTAGATATGTTAGAAACTCTCCAGCTAGACTCAAGAAGTTCAGGGATTTGGCTGATTGGTTGAGTATTGAACAAAGGTCTTCTTTGTGTTTAGATGTTCCAACCAGATGGAACTCTACCTATTTAATGTTGCAGTCTGCATTAACTTACCAAAAAGTGTTTGAATCTTTGGAGTCTGATTGCTCTTTTAAGTCTGATTTGGGTAATTCAATTCCTGATTTTATTGACTGGGAATCTGTTGGCAGTCTGGTTCATTTACTGAAGTGTTTTTATGACATGACCATTAGAATTTCTGGTTCTTTATATGTCACCTCAAACACTTTCTTTACTGAGATTTCTGATTTGTACTGCCTATTGAAAGGCATGGTGGAAGTTGGTGGGCCAGTTGGTGTGATGGGGAAAAATATGAAGGCAAAATTTGAGAAGTATTGGGGTGATGTGGAAAAAATGAATCTAATGATATTTTTTGCAAACATTCTAGACCCTAGAGACAAGTTAGAGTATATGCCTACTCAGTTTAATCATATGTATGGTGAGGAAAAGGGTCAAAAATTATATGACAAAGTAGTTGCTGGTCTTGCTGAGTTATTTGATGATTATTCTACATCTGCCTCTTCTTCTGTTCCTTCTGTGCCTGTGTCTGTACAGCCTACATCTACCTCTTCTGTTTCTGTTGGGAAGCCACAACATTTTCTGAAGTCCCAAATTAAAAAGCAAAGATTGGAGTCTGGGGGTAAGAAACAAACTGAGTTGGATATGTACTTGAGTGAGGGAATAGTTGAAGAGGAAGAATCTTTTGACATACTTGGATGGTGGAAGATCAACTCTGCTAGGTTTCCAGTTCTGTCTAAGCTTGCTAGGGATGTCCTAGCCATTCCAATATCCACTGTAGCCTCAGAATCTGCCTTCAGTACATCTGGAAGAGTATTGGATCCTTTTAGGAGTTCTTTAACTCCAAAAATTGTGGAAGCATTGGTGTGTACACAAGATTGGCTTAGAAAGCAAAATACTCCTTTATGTATTGAGGAGAATCTGGAAGAGTTGGAGAGGTTTGAAAAAGGTATGACTTTGTAGTTTGAACATTATAATCCTTTATACTTATATTTTAAATTGCTTAAATTGTTAATACTTTTCTTGTTTATTTTGCAGAGTTAAGTGGTGATGGTGGAAGTGGGAGGTCTCTTGGTTCTACACTTGCTACAATTCCTGTAATGTTATTATTTACATTACTTGATTTTATTGATTCTAACTAAATTGCAATCTAATCTCACTTGCTATTTTTTGAGCCCACTGGACATCTGTAAGTCTCAGACTCTGTAACTCTGTAAGTATGAAGGCCTGGTAACTTGTACTAAGTTGCTGCCTCATGTACCTTGGGCATTTGGTAATGTATGGACTCTTTTATTCTGTTTGTTCACTTTAAGTTGGCAAGTTTGGCAATGATGAAACTTCCACCTTCAATCTGAAAAGGAAAGGATTAAGTTGGTCAGTTGCTCTATACTTAAGGTATATTGAAGCAATAGGCCCTTAATCCAAATGATATGTAAAATATGCTTACTGAGCCAATATTTATATAATCCCTTCTCTGTTTTTCATTTTCTAATGCTTGCTTAGTTGCTTTACTTGTTTACTTGCTTGTGTACTAATTATCTACACTAACTTGCCACAATTCACAGGAAGAAGAATAACTACTCTAATTGTCTGAATTCTAAAAGTCTAGGAGTTGCTGAATGCTGAGTTGCTGATTTTGGGTGAATTTGTTTTTGTGGGGCTTCGGTTTAAAGTTTAAACAGTTATGTAAATTTGTATGTAGTAAGTAGTATACAAGCTAGTATGTATGTACTTCTGTAGTTTTTTTGGAGTCTTAGTCTCTTAGACTCTTAGCCACTTAAGAGTTAAGACTCTTAATGTTAGTTAATAGACTACTTAGTAATACTAATTACTAACTTAGTAACTTAGTAACTTAGTATTACTGGTATTAGTCTATTACACTATCATTCTATTAATTATTACTTATTTATTCAGTATTATTCAGTATTTCAAACTTTCAGTTACTTATTATTTTGCTTTTGATTTTAATTTATGAATTTTTGATTTGATTTCAACAATTGTTAATATCCGAAATAATTTCGGATATCCGACCGACCCGACCAAACCCGAACTAGGATATAACCGACCGGATAAGTCAACATTTTTAAACGGATAGGGTAGTCAAAATACAAAACCGAAATCCGATCGGATGCACCTATCTCTCACCCGATCCGTCCGAACCGTCCGAATGCACACTCCTAATTGGAACTAACTCAATTTTTTAGACACAATATATTTAGATATAAAGTCTTAGAATTGGAATATTACCTACAAACTCTAACATGTAATTGAACATATAAAAAAACACAACTACAAAGTCTAAGTTGCTTGCCAAACTATTTCCATCCTGTCTGCCTTCTAAAACCTTGGCCACTTGGCATCCTTGCTAAACTTGGACACCTTTCATCCTTACTCTTAATAACCTGAAAGGAAAAGTAGAAAAACTGCAAAACAGGTTCTAATAGCAGTATATACACCAATGTATTGTACTAAACAGTTAGGCAATAACTAAAAACATTAGATAAAAGTTGTAAAACATCCCAAAAACTGAAAATAAGAAAGTTTCACATCACAGTCTTAGGAAAATAAAAAAAAAAATGTCTGGATAATGTCCCGCCAACAACAAACACTTTCAACCATCAATGTCAATTACAACTTTTCCCTCTTGATTTCTGAGTCATTCAACTTCTTCCTACTTTTGGATGATGAAAACTCATCCAAAAGTGACCTTTTAATAGCCCCAGAGTTTTCAGCATTGTCTTCTCCTTCCTTTTGCGAGGGCTGGACAGTGGCAGGGCTATTCACTTCAACTCCAATAGAATCTTCCTATTAGTAAGTAAAGCAGAAAAGCCTATTAGTAACCAATAAAAAAAAATCATAGACTTTAGGGTTTATAATTCTTACTCCAGAAACTGCATCGGTGTTAGTTTCCTCCTCAATCATCTTTGACATTAAGTCTTGCTCTTCATGCTCCACAAACCTGTCAGCATAGGTCTTAAGCAAGTGCTCATCCCTTACAACCCTAACAACATTGAATGGGTAATTGGGGCCCATCTTTTGAGCCAGTTTGAAGTTGATCTTAAACAGCATCTTCATTCCAACTATAGCATCCAATTCAGGGGGCACTTCAACATCAAGCTGTTTAGATAGGTGATAAATAACAAAATTAAAAACATATAATATAAACAGTTTAGGAAAAAAAATGTAGACATTAAATTATAAGAATTTACCTCCTTGTATTTTGCATACAAAATAGAGGCAGGAATACCCACAAGCTCTGTAACTTCCCTATCCCAAAGCAACATTGGAGCATCTCCAGATTTGTCAAGAGCAATAACAACTACTTTGTACCTAACTGTATCCATCATACAAGTCTTTTTACACTTAGTACAAAAAAGAGTCCCTTCCTGTTCTTTAAGCTTCTTATTACATCCAAGTTTCAGGCACGATAGGTAGTACCAACCATCCTCAAAATCTAACCCAAGAATCTCAGCAGCAACATAGTAGTCCCCATCCTATAGTATACAAATAATTTTGTAAGTATATATTGCACTTACCAAATTCAGTTACATCAAATAAAAGAAAGAATTGCTAGCTTAGTGTGTGGATTACCTCTTTCACCTTCTTAATATCATGGCAGTTAGTGACAATAACAGCAGCATTATTAAAATCACTAATGCCTATAGAGTTGGAATGCAGTGTGCCAGTACTGAGACTCCTCATTGGAGTACCCTGAGCTTTCATGCTTCAAAAACATTAGAAACTTGGTTAGATGTGTCTAAAACACCCTACAACAATACAGTAGACAACATTTAAAATATCTATCTTATTTTTTGATTGGTAGTTGAGTAAAGTTGAAGAAATGCATACACTGTACAACATGGTATTTCAATATATATACACAGTACAGTGTATTTTTTTTAATCCAGTATTCAGATGTTAAAAAAAAATATATGGCATAACTAAAATCAGAAGTACAAAGTAGAGCACACATTAATAAAGATACAAAAAAAAAAAAAAAAAAGAGAGAAATTTAAAAGATGAACTTACTTTGACTTAAACTCTTTAAACTCTTCTCAATCCTCATTAAACCACAGCTTCGTCGCATCATAGGAACTGGTTATTCTCACTTCACCTAAAAAAAATATATAGAATAGATGCATGTATTTGAAGATATATATTATGATATATATACAGTATAGAATATAGAGTATTTGAACTTATAGATTAGAAGAGAAAATAGTATAGAAACTCACCACCACAACTTTGGCCCTACAGCATTGAATGACAACAATCAGTGGTTCTTTCGAATCACTATTGTAAAAAGGCATCAGGGAAGAAACATGGTCATTTCAGAGTGTACACATCATGGTGTTATCACTGGATTAGAAACAGAAAAAAAACACAAAAGTATGAAAAAAAAAAAAAGCGCATCATTTTCGAATGTAATCAATTTTATTTTAAAAAACTTACGCATTGTCTTCAATTTGAAAGTCGATTAGTTTGGTGGCCTTCCCCCCTACAATCTTGTCCACAGGATTGTAAATCTCAATTACCCTTCCAATAACATCTGCAAAATGAACAAAATATTAGCAAGAACTACTAAAAGTAGAATAAAGAACATATTAGCAGTTAGGAAAGGTAAATTTAGTACCAATCAGCTCCTTGTCATTCACATCATCAGGATCTTTCAAAGCCAAAAAACTCTTTAATCTAAACATTTTGCAAGGAAAGCCAGTAGAATGTATTTCATTCACTTGTGTTATGTAGTTAAATTTGAGCATGAAACCATGCTCTGTAATCTTGTAGACATAATAGTTTGTAGAGGCCATGAAGTTCTTTATTTCAAACACTTTCCCTTCCTTGATTGTATCTCTATACTTTACAATGTCTTTCTTGATAATACTCGCATGAATGTAGTCTCCCTGCGAATACAATAGGAAAAAAAATTTAGACAGCAAAACAGTTTAGGATGAGTAGATAACATGGCATGAAAGTAGCTTAATTGAAAGACCATTAGATGAGAAGATTATAGACAGCAAAACATACTAAGATTATTAGATAACATGGCATGATTAGTAGACAAAATCAGATTGGCAAATAGATAAAATTACCTCTTCACCATGGAACAAAACTTCTATGCTCTTACTGACCTGCCCCTCTCCCCTTTTCTCAGGAACTTCATACACACGAACTGCTCTCACTCGTATTGCCCTTTCCTGGTGTTCCGGCTTAATGTTTCTGACAGCAATGAACATGGAAGGCATGTTGAAACACCAAAAGTGGCTTTCGAAAAGGCTGTAAAGTGTAAGAATTTTCTGAAGTGTTCTGCCATGAAGAAGCCCGGTATTTATACATACTGAAGATTCAAAAAAAAAAAAAAGATACCGGCATTCTATGTTTGGGAAATCGCACATCTCAATTAATGTGAATTTGAATATTGCAACTCTGCATATTCTATGTAATGTATGTAATATATATAATTCTTTCTCGTAGGCCGTAGCAGTTCATTATGCTTTGTAGATATTTATAGTAATGATCTTGTTTACAATACCAAAGAGTTCTACATTAATTGAACTCCTTGGGAACCAACTACCAAGGATTGTATAATAATAAGAACGGCTATGCATATTCCCAAGAGAGAATCCCATTACACGCGCACAATAAAGAAGGAACTAATTCGATATTCATGACTCCACCAAAACTGTGTCGTTTTCATTGGGCGGGAAACAATGATTGGCAAAACTTCTTGCTTTATTATAGAGTTAGATTAGATTAGATGGTTTTTTTTTTTTTTTTTTTTTTTTTTTGGTTAGACCACGAGATGTCCTCAGACTCTAACTGTAGGAGGCATTTTTAAGCCCGAACCATACTCAGACTAATCTCTGTTCACACTGGACCAGTCCAAGAGGGGGTTCGAATTCTCGACCTCTCTTAAGGGACAAAAGTGCACGGCCACTCACGCCAACCAAGCTAGTTTTTTAGTGTAAATAGTTGAATGACTTCTTAAAGACTGTCAAACTTGGCAAACAAAGAAAGAAGAGATTGGTCTTTAATGAACCAAGAAACACTAATGTAGTAGATTCATCTCTTGCACTGCCATCCAAATCAGAAGGCATAAATCTACTGATAAAGGGAAATGCCTCAAACTTGATTGATGTCTAGTACATATACATACACACATACATACAGTGAGATACAAGATGAGGTTTACCCCGTGCACACCCTCAGGTAGTGATTGTGGAATAATAGAGAAGGAATGACAGATGAAAGAAGTGTTCAATTCAAATATCAACCAATTTCTTCTAGTGTTTTCTATATGGATTGCACACAAGATAATATATGTAATTACACTTGCACTGATCTGTGGTAATATCTTAGCGAGCGAGCGGATGGGAATGGCGCTACCAATTCTCTTTGACGATTTTTGACTTCTCGAGTATGAACTTCCCTTCCTTGTACTTCTGCGTTGGCTCGTATGCTCGTTCATACTTCCACCCTAACAACTCGTGGCAATCTGAACAGAATATATCAGCAACTGTGTGAAGACCAGTCGTGAGATGTCTGTCTTCTTTGGTCCCAACTCGAATATTCATCACGTGAGAAAATAGAAACGCTCTTCCATTCCTTCCCTGAACAGAAATGCAGTGAATGTATACAGTATATATTTTCGATAAAACCATAAACACAAGCATACAGAACTGAAAAGTATCCTACATTCCTAAAGCAAGCAAATTGATCATTCTCGAGTTTTCATTTGAGGTGTGTTGATGGATAGGTGAGAATATGGAAATCCCAATTTCACCTTGATTGAATTATGAAATTTAAAGTAGGATGGACGAGACTCGAGAGGAAGTACTTTTCGAAAGAGAAAATTTTCACTTCTTTGGTTTGGGGGAAATGATTATATGAATGATGAAAATCCATTTTCCACATCAACCATACATGTCATAATGCCATCTCTGATTATCAAATTAGAAGATAAAGATCATATGAAATCATGAAGAGTGGCTGGTTGGTACTCGACTACTCGGTCATCTCTCCATCTTTCTTCACTCACCGTGGGTTTCAACCAAAACGGGGAAGAAAGATTCAAGAATGAACACTAAACCGTTTCTCCTCCTCCCCAAAATCTGAACCCAACAATGAACTTTCACAGTATAGAATTCACCAAAGAATGTGGTCACTTCAACAACCTATCAATCTTTAGATTTTCTATGCATTTCGAGATTTCTGCTTACATGTTTAGATTCATAATCCATTCAGTCAGCACAGATTACTATAGATCTTGCACTTTATAGAACTGGAAAAGACAAACAAATGAATGCCAGAAAGGACAAAAGACATAAAATGGCAAAAACCCAATCACCCTATCAACAAATCCATAAATTCTTGAATGCAGAAGATCTGTCATAGCAACAATTTCAACAAATCCCATGTTCCAGCAGCTACATAGGACATAAAAATGGCTAACCTGGAAGTCCTTTGAGATTATATCATCATGAACAGAAACATGATTTTTACACTTGTAGCAGCTGTACAACCTAGGTCCAATTGTTTCATCCATGGAACAAGAACACCAACACAAACACACCCACTGTTCACGGAACCAAATTAATCAAATTTCAGCATAGCCCAACAACAAATAACCATAAAGATCGAAACTTTAGACAAAATCCTAGAAAAAACCCAGAGAAATCAAAGCCAAACTCTAGAGAGAGAGTGTGTGTGTGAAGATACCTGAAATTCTACAGCTTTGAATAGGAAGAAATCGGAGATGAAGGCAAGAACAGCAGATAAGGCTAGCGTGCTGGACGATAACACTTCGGCGTAGAATGTTGGCTAAACGTATTAAGTCAACACATTTTTGTCGTAAAACCCAAGCGCGGGGTTGAAGAGAACGCAATTTGTCCTTTTATGTTAAAAAAACAAAAAAAAAATTGAAAGAACAAAAACATCGAAGTACTGCAGTGGAATGATAACCTGACCCAGTAAAACCAATCATACAAAAAAAAAAAAAAAAAAAAAAAAAAAAAAAAAAAACGAAAGTGCAGGAATCCCATTCCATTGTTCGTACTTTGCTTTAATTCAACAAAGTACCTCCAAATATTATAAAGGGTAAATTACTTTATTCTAATTTAATGACATCTCATTATTATGAAAGTCCTCAATTCTAAACTCAAATAATTAAATATGAAGGCCAGAAAAGGTGATCGAGTGGTAAAACATAATTATTGTATTATAAACTTACAAGTTTGATTCTTACTAACACATCTTCGATTAAATGGTAATATATAATTTTTTAATGCAATTTACATATGACAATTTTTACTTAGCTTCAAGTACTTAGTGTCACTCAATATATATATATATATATATATATATATAAATACCGATGGGGATAATATTGTATAATGTATAAAGGCCGACTTGAACCGAAAGTATCCGACTTAGTCCAATCACAACAACTCCTCGAACCACAATTTTTCTTGCAACGAGCAATTTGATCATACTTCCTGGCATTCACGTGTCGCGACTCGCGACTGACCTAAATACACCCTACTGATGCCACAAGTCCCATCACACGTCTTGTCAATGACACAATAAATATTCATGCAACTGACACTGATATAAACAACCAACTCATGAAATATACGTGTAAGATATGTTAAGGGTCCGACATGTGTCCTCTCAACCTCTATAATACCTCAATGCATATTTCATACACACTACATAAGGGGATGAAAATCAAGACACTCACAAGTCACAAGTACTCTATGTATTTCCTAACCACCACGAATTATAAGGGAATTTACACTATCATATATAATATTTGGTTATTTTGATAATGATTTCTAATAGCAATCAATATACTTATACTATGTATTATGAACGTACAAAATAAGGTCATATAATGTTTTTAAAAAGTATTTAACATATTATAATATGAGGAATTTAATAGTAAAAATTATTGAGAGAGGTGTCTGAGCAAGTAAAGCACGACTTTCATATTTAAACGAGAAAAGGCTCAAATAAGCTCCTAAACTTTACCCTAAGGTCAATTAGGCCCATAAACTTTTTAAAAAGTCAATTAAACACTCAAACATGTCAAATTGGGTTAATGAAGCTCAAAAACTGATAAATGACTTATTATTACAGGTCATTTTAATTCCGCGCGACGGATTCCGACCACCAGCGACATTTCCAGCCGTCCAGTCGTCTTCCACTGGAGAAGACGACCGGACGCCGCCTTCTCCCGTGGAAGACGACCGGACGGCCGGAAAATGTCGCGCGGTGGTCGGAATTCGTCACCAGTGGCCGAAAACCGTCGCCGATAACAGGTCATTTACAGATTTCTAGGTTTCATTGACCCAATTTGACATGTTTAAGTGTTTAATTGAACTTTTTTAAAGTTTAGGGGCCTAATTGACCTTTGGGGTAAAGTTTAGGGGCCTATTTGACAATTTTCTCTATTTAAACATTACGAAATTAATTGTTGCCAATACATTTGTTATCATGTCCGTTGTATTATGTCTTCATAATACATTGTGGTTTACTATGATTTACAAATTATTACACATGATATATAATAAACTAGCTCATATGTAATGAATAAATTTACTAATGTGTAATAATTTACAAATCACCACACGATAAATGTAAATTGTACTAAGAAGTATAAATCGAATTCGTGATCTTAAAGCAAAAAAGTTATTAGTATGTTCTATTAATTTAGTTAGTCATTTATTTTAAGTTGCTCCATGTATACTTTATTTGTAGTGGTTGCGATTTTTTTAAAAGATAAAAAAAAATAAAAAAGAATTTATGAAGAGGATTAATATAAAAATGCCGGGGTAAAAAAAAAAAAATAGAGGCAAAGTGTTAGACCAGAAGAACGACGTGAACCAGGGGGGCACGCTTTACTAGCCAAGACTGCTGCGAATTCTATCGAACTTCTACTCTGCTCTCTCCTTCCTACAGCTGATACCCGTGTTTCTGCTTTGGAATCGATCGTCTTTGTCTCCGAAAAGACTTCAATTTCCGGTGTGAAAATGGCAGATGCGTACTGGAGATTCGGCGACGTTCGGCAACAACCGCCGCCGGCAGCAGCTATTCCGTCTCTCCTTGCTAAACGCCCTCGCTCGGAATACGGTATCTAACTTCTTTTCCTATCTATCTATCGAATTCTCTATCTAATTGTTCTTTTGCAAAGACCCTAGGTTTTGTATTTGTCCCGACATCAGAATTTGTTGTAATTCGGACAGACAGGTAGGGTTTTTGGGGAATTTTTACTTATGTTTTATGGGGTATTTTTCCCGTAATTTATAGGAATTTGTAGAATATATGGAGTGGAAATTATGCTTTATTTAGCTAGTTTTTTATTTGTTGGGTATAGAATTGATATAAAATGGTCCTGTAACGTGAAAGGGTAGACAAAGTTTAGTTCAATTGTAATCTCTCTTGAGCAGCTATAGAGTTCTAGTAGTTGAACCTTTGTTACCTGTGGCTTTCAAAGAGAGGAGTATAAAAGATTGCATCTTTTTTTCTCTGTCATGGCTTCTATGTTGTGTTTCATTTGTTCTGTTTGAATCAGAATTGATCATACAGTTGGACTCTATATTTTCTTATGCTGTGTAGATCCTGCAAACAGCCATGACTTGGCTGGCTATTATGCTCGTGATGATGGAAGGGGGGGAGTGCATCGTGTCATCAGAGATACTGATCCTATTGGAGCATCATATGACCGTTATCTGCAAAGCGCGGTAAACAACTCTTTCTACTTTGTTGTGTGCTGCATATTTCTGATGATCATGTGTGTCTGAAATTCCTAACATAATGTGCCAGAAAGTTTCTGCTTATGGTGGGGGTGAATCTGCAAGACCTCTGACTGGTGGAATGGCTGGACATCCTACCGAAGATCCACGTGTTTTGGGCATTGGTGGATCAGACCCTGTGGGTGCAAAAGGCAGGGCAATGGGAGGAGTAGGAGGTGGGAGAACTGAAGTTCATCTCCCTCCTGATGCTTCAAGCACACTCTATGTGGAGGGCTTACCTGCTAATTGCACTCGACGGGAAGTGTCCCGTATCCTTTTACAATCCACCTCATACTGTTATGTTTCAACTTCTTTGTTCTGGACGTCTTCCTTAACTTATTTTTGCAGACATATTTCGGCCTTTTGTGGGCTATAAAGAAGTGCGACTGGTAACAAAAGAATCAAGACGTGTAAGGATTCATCAAATTGTTTGTTTTTAATTGCCAACACAGTATGTGGTTTTCTTGAATTCATTTCTCAATCAACATGTGCAGCCTGATGGTGATCCATTGGTTTTTTGTTTCGTTGACTTTGCAAGCCCAGCCCATGCTGCCACTGCAATGGATGCCTTACAAGGTGAAGTTACCTTTCTCATGCTTCTTATCATGTAATGCCATATTAAAGCTCATAACTATAGTTTTGAAAGTATCAAAAAGAAAAACAAGAAATAATATAATTAGAAGCATCTCTTGCATGGATCATTCTAAAACTGCATGCAGCACTAGAGTCCTAACATAGTATGTAATAATTAGATGTGAATGGGATACGTATCTTGTGACTTTTTTGAAGCCTCTGCAGCCAAGATTATATTTTACTGTCCCTTTTCTTGTCCTTACCAGAAATTAATTCAACTGCCTTGTCTAAACTGTGCATGTTATTCTGTTCTCCTTGTTTCATTCACTGCCTGTAATATAATGTAAGCTTGTGCTAACTTCCTATGACTATTCCATTGATAATCAAAATTTATCAGCCTGCTAGAGCATAGAACACTCAACGGGTAATTTAATTTGTTGTCCTGTTATTTTCACCTTTCTCTTCACAAAATATTCTAAATTTCCTTAGGATTTGTATGTTGTAAATACGTTCAGGCTACATGTTGAGGAGTTTTAAGACTCAATGGAAGATTTCTGTACAGATCTAGGTGGAAACTGACTGAATGCTTTATTTCCTCTTTAGCCACAATATGCTGTTAATAGGATAAATAAAGGTGGGGGGTTTGAGTACATCTCGTAAACATTTAGTGAACCTTAATACCTTTATGTGCACTCTGGATAAAAAAAAAATATTTTCACTATACAATTAGAGCCTCTCATAAAGCAGGTCTTAACTTTGCACCCATGGTTCAGATCTACATTTGAATTTTTAATCCCTGCTTTCGAAGTCTAATCATGGACCTCTTTTATAAATTGCAAGTAAAAATACATTCTAAAATTAGTGACCTATTCTTAGTGGGGGGAAAAAAAAAACTTCAGAACATTCAAGAGGAATTCTTTTTTTTTTGAAATGGAAAATAAAAACTCAACTTCTAGTTTTTCACTTTAAAAGACGAGGTTGGAAAATATTGAAGAGATGCTCTCGAAATTTCCTTCAACGATTAAGCAATGCTTTCCCCTATTTTTCAATATGGACGAAAAATACACGTGAATCACCTCCCTACCACAAGTGCCGCACTGCTGCTCTCTTCTGCTTACCACTATCACTTCCACCCACATCTGCCGCTGCGCCAACCATCACCATTTTCATGGCCCCTCTTCCACCCACCACTCTGTATCATTATCATCCCACACACGTCTATCTGCTTACATCACTGCTGGGCTAACCACCATCACTATTGCAGTCGCCAGCTGCTACCACCATTCATCATCACCACCCACCCCTACCCACTACCACACCACCTAATCACGTATCACCCATCATCTCTGTCCACCATTAGCAAAACTCACCACCACACTCCAACATTGCCACTGTCTATTTGTGTTGCTGTTTTTTATATTAGTAAAATGGTAAAATTTGGACAGTTTTCATATTTTTTTAAGTTGAAAAGTAATTATGATCTAAGATTCTAAGACCATGTTTTAT